TTATACACATGATGAACAGATGTTGTAGAGAAATCTCCATTAATCATAAAAATTAGTGACAGTACCTGACTTCGGAGTTAGTGGAGATGTTCCTTAAAAGCTGCATTCCGCAAATCCCAACCGCAACTCCCGTAGTAGCAAACAGAGGATACACCTGAAACGTTACACACTAACCAATCTTATACTCATTCATATATGTTTCAGATCAATTGAATTAATGACCCCATGCTTGCATCTCATTTTTTCCGGATCATCATCATCAAATGGTTGTAATTAGAGAGTCAGGAAATGTTTACTATCACGTACATAATCCACTAACTCTATTCTTATGTACACACCATAAAGCGGAGACTCCGTAAACCCTAATTCCTCGATCATATCTCGAAATCTCACAAACCAGTGAGATCAGGCTTAAATCTCTCTTATCAAATCGAATACCTAATTAGGATACACCCATAGATTAGTGAGAACCAAATCGAGTAGGTAACGTAGAGTGGTAAGAAGCAGAGAGAATGAGATGGTTACCTCGGGCCTGATCCATCTTGAAGAAGCCATGGCTGAAATGAGTAAGCTATGAAAAATGCAAGACAAGGGGAGAGACGAAAGTGTAGCCCTAAGAAAGCGTGAATACGAAGAAATGAACAAGAAAGGAATTGGAGGCGACGACGACTGCCCTTTACTGATCCAAGTCCTTCTGCGTTTTAAAGCTTAACAAAACGGCACACTTTTCTCATCTCAATTACTAACTTGTGTACTTCATTAACACTGCGTCCCGTTTTCTTGTTATTTTCTGATTCGATAGCTCACCGATTCGACTAAATTTTTATAGTAGGGGGCAAAGTTGGGACGCAAGATATGCTGTTCTGAAAATCTGGATATTTAAAACGGTTAAATATGGAATTGATCAATCGAATAGTAAATGTTTGTGGTTTTATTTTATTTTAATTAAATATTTGGTCCATAAAAACAAACTTGAAAAGAACCAAACTGAACCAAGTTAATAGTTCGAGAGTAATTGGACTGGGTAGCTACATGGTCTATCTACCATTGAACATCATCAAAAACCAAACCCAAAAATCATTGTAACTGCGTCCCGCGAAGATCTTGAGGATCAGCGACCAATTTAGGGTTCCATACGGCCAAAAGATTGGGAATACGATGTTAGACCATCTCTAATGTATATATCTATTTTTATTCTAAATAGAGAAAATTATAGTATCCCTCTATTTATTCTCCAATATATCGTTATTTTAGAGAAATTACTATAAAATAGAGGAAAAAATAGTAGTTCTCAATTTTTTCTATTATATATAGAGGAATGCTATAGTTTTCTTTATTGTAGAGGTAGAAATAGAAATAGATTGGAGTATATTTTACTCTAAAATAGAGCTTAGGAAAAAAAAATAGGGTAGATTGGAAATGCCCTTAGGAAAGAGGAAGAAGTTGAGTCGCAAACCATTCTTACATAAGAAACAAAGCAAGTCTTGGTCTCTTTCCACTGGCGGTTATATAAATAAATTTTATTGGGGTCATAATTCATATGTTAACATAATATATATATTTTTTACAATACTATAACGAGAAGAAATGATAAAGTTATATAAATTGATGGGCACATTTGGAAATTTAAACATTAATTTATAGGGGTGGAAGACTAGTTTTAACTAAATATTTCACTAAATCCAATCAAATTTACACAAAAAAATAATTAATTATACTAATTTTAGGGGGTCACATGACCCCTCCTTCCTTCTTACCTCCGCCACTGTTCTTCTCCCTCAAATCACTTGCTCTCTTTCGGACAAGAATATCAAATATGCTTCAAGATGGATGGAAGTAGCTAATCTGAAGATGTTTCGATGAAGACGATTATTTCTCTCAGATTAGGGATTAAATGGTTTGGTCATTGTCGAGGTAGTATCGCTGAGCATCTTCTTGCCACTTCTTCCTAGGTAATCCAGTCGAAGTTTCAATCAAAGAAAATGTGGTTTTTGGACTCTGATTCCTGATTACACAAGAGACATGGAGGGTCAATTTCTAAACCCCAACTGAAATTCCTAATTTTTTTACATTTATCAAAGCTCAATCAAATATCTAAAGGATAATAATATTTTTTATATACTAGCGCTTTTCATATAAAAATACATACAACAAAATAAATTATTTATAGTACATTAATATTTTTTTACTGTCACATAATAACTCAATTCAAACCATTTTGCCTAACACCAAAATATGTTAATAACTTCTTAATCCAAATGAGTTCACAGTGCATGTTTTTGTCTTCTGTAATTACATTAGTCATTAGATACCATTTTTTGGCCTTCTATTGTAATCTTTTTTCGCTGCATTTCATCCACTCTAGCTGGTGTTCACATAAGACATTCACCTGTATTACTTAAGATTCAGCTTTATCTTGCACATCAATTAGTGCCTAAGTCAAACACTTAAATTTGGTTTTCCACTCAATTGTAATTCACAAGCCTTGACTTATTTTCAATATGGTTGGTATCTAGTTTGTGTTCAAGGGAAAAAATAAACAACGGTTG